CATCATGGGCCAAGGGGTAGAGGGCAGACCAACGCAGCGCAGAAGTATAAATCAAGAGGCTGCGTCCAGCCATTCATTCATTCCTGCGGATGCCATGCGGAAGCGCTGCCTCAACAGCTTGTGCGAGGAGGTCTGCAGTGTGCCCGAAGACRAAGTGGGCAGAGAAGYGTAGTGTAGCGATAGGGTAGTGGCAGCTAGCGCTGCCATAGCCATAGCCAAGTGTGTGTGTGTTGTGTATGAACACTGAGTGTTGCGTGTGGGACATCCAGGGTGATCAAGAGTGCAAACAGTGAGTTGTGGGGGCTCTCAGTCGCCATAGCCAGTTTGAAGAGAGCTCCTACCCGGGTACGATATCTTTGAGTATTGTGTGGGCGCATGTCGCCAGTTTGCTGTTTCGCTGTTTGCATGCATGATGAGTGTGAAGAAGTCGAGTCTGATTGCAAATCGGACAAATTCCCATTCAACCCCGAGCTCGCATCTGCAGCTGCATCTGCATTCGACTCTGACTCTGATATAGAACCTGATTCAGACTCAGAATCAGATTCAGACTCAGACTCAGATTCGCATTGTGAATGGGACCCTCTCCTGCACACAACATCACAACAACCCCTCTTGCCTGTACACAGGTCCGCCTTGGATGAATATGAACACTGTGTGGCCACAAACGAGCACTTCAGGGATACGAAAGACAAGCATCCGCCATAGGCGGTCCCGCGGCTGGGCCTCCCCCAACCGCGGGAAGGACTGTTGCAACCGACTCAAGTGGCTCTGCTGATAGATCATCCATCGGGGTCAAATCACACTGCAGAATCACCCAAACTGCTCCCTGATCCGGAGCCCCGTTTTGGGTTACCAGATAGCACTCGGGCAAAACGATCCACGTTCAGAGAAGCATTGGCGACAACACCCGTCAGGCTGACAGACAGATGTGTCAAACCAGGTGTGGTGATCCTACCCTTAAAAAGGAGCCGCCCGGATGGAGAATGGGAGTTGGGCCTCAGGTATAATTCCCCCCGGGTTCCCAAGCTTGCGAGTAGCCTCCTCAGGACATCGCAGGACACTCCTCCAGGGGTAACACTGCAGGGATGGAGGGGTGCCACGACACAAGTGATGACTAGACATATGCTGAGGAATCATTTTAGGGACAGTTTTTCCACAAAGCCTCCCCTTCCCAAAAGGAGTTTCCCCAATCTTGGTCGTTTATAGCATAACCCAACACAATACCCAGCCAGAGAATCAAATCCTCTGGTTGTCACAACAGGACCTCCTCGACACCTCGATCTCCAGACTGAGGTCCAACAACATATGGCCTGCGGAGGAGCAGTCAGATTTCATCATGCATGTCTTGGAAGAAGCAGCACTGGACGAACACAGAGCCTGGGACGACCCACCCTTCGTCAACAACCTCACATCAGTGTCACTATCCACCTGTGGATAACGTCTATGGAAGCAAACCATCAGCATGGCAGGGATCCGAATACACAGCCCCGATAGAACGATAATGGGGCACATCATGACCAAGATCCAAGTCTTGCACAGATGAACATGCGGCCAATGGCACTGATAGAAGCCAACCAACAACAAATGCAATTTGACACACAACAACAAAATGACCCGCCCCGATGCCCAACCCCACTGCGTCCTCCACCCCCGCTGAGAAAACAGCCAACATGGACTAAAAAGCTGGTAGAGGCGGACCTTCACGTGAGATCCATAAATGTAAATGGGCTGGCCCAACCAAATGATCGAAAAAGGCGGCACCTTGCAAAATGATAACACAAGATCTGGGGGGGAAGTGGCCCGACGCCATTGGAATACAGGAAACACATCTCACAGACTCCCCCACCCACCTGGCCAGGGCCACCCAGGTATGGCCATACACATCTTTCTCAGCACCGGCCCGATCCTCCTCTTCGGCGGAATGGGATAAGGAAGAAGGAAGTTGGGTGTGGGTCAAAGCCACAATAGGCACTTAATTGATATACCTGGTTTGTGTGTATGTTCCGAACGACCCTGCACAACGAGTTCAGTTCTTCATGTCACTACAAGGCTTCCTTCCGACATGTGCTCCCATCATCATGTGCGGGGACTTCAATACCACCCTAGATCCGAACCTGGACAGGA